TGCTCCTTCACACTTCTTGGACTCTCCAAGAGTGACTACTGCTTTGGCCTCTGTCAACATCACCTCAGTCATCTGCCTTAGATACACGTAGGAAGAGGGTATCTAGTTAACCTTCACTTCTTAAACAAGTCCTTTCTTCACTAAGCAGCAAAAGGTGAGAAACTACAGCAGAACGGTTATTAGGTGGGGTAGTCAGCCTGCCCACTGGCCCACAGTGGCCTCTGCCTCCTGGTCTGTGTCCCTGCATAGTTCCCTTCCCACAGTGATCTGGGGCTGTCCTGTGGGATGAAAGGAATATGGCGGGAATGATGGTACATGATTAAGTCAAGGCTAGGTTAGGAAAGGCCTTACGGCTTCTGTGATGACCTCTCCTGTTGTTCACTCTGAGGGAAGCCAGATGCTATGCTGTGAGGGCACAAGCAGTAAAGAGGCCCCTTGAGGAGGACTTGTGCCATCTTGGAAGTGTAACAGTCAATCCTTAGTGACTAAAACCATGGCTGACAACTGACTGCAACCTTATGATATACCCTGAGCCAAAAATGCCCACTGGGGCCACTCTAATTCCTGACCCACTGAAACCATTGAAGATGATGTTTACTGTTGTTTTAAACCACTACTCTGGGGATACCTTACTGTGCAGCAATAGATAACTGATACATTAAGAATGCATTTCCTGTTCTCAAATGGCCTCATGATGGACATAATCCAATGCAGGTGAAGTATTTTCAAGCAAGAACCCACTTTGTCCCTCATCTTTACTCTTTCTGCCACTTCCTCTTTTTTGAAATGTCAGTGCTAATTCGGCTGTGAGGGAAGTGCTATGGGCTGAATATTTGTGTCCCACGTTCATACGTTCAAGTCCTAATCCTCACTATGACGGTATCTGGAGGTGGGGTTTCTGGGAGGTGATTAGGGTTAGATAAAGTCAGGAGTGCGAAGCTGCATGGCAGAATGAGTGCCCTTGTGGGGCACCGTCTGACTTTAGCTTAGCTCATGGTCTCGTGGGTTCATCAGTTTGAGTCCTACTTCGGGCTCTCTGCTGTCAGCGTAGAGCCCACTTCTGATCCTCTGTCTCTCTCTCTCTCTCTGCCCCTCGCCTGCATTGTCTCTCTTTCTCTTCAAAGAAAAAAAATTCAAATAAATCAATAATTAAAAAAAAAAAGAAAAAGAATGAGTGTCCTTGTAAAAGGAAGAGATGGGAGATTGATCACTCTCTCACTCTTGTCTTGTGCAGGAACCAAAGAACGGCCATGTGAGCACATAACCCAGAAGGGGACCCTCACCAAGAACCTGACCAAGCTGGGAGCTTGATCTTGCATTTCCAGGCTCTAGAACCACGAGAAAGAAATGTTTGTTGTTTAAGCCACCCTGTCTGTGGTGATTTGTTATAGCAGCCCCAATTAAGACAGGAATGCTACGTATGTGTGCACATAACACGCGAGTGCGTAATTTCCACTTGTGGAGGAAAACACAGATGGCATATACCTCTCCTTTTGGTCTCTACTATACGCCAGGTTCTCAACTGTGAGTGTTGCTCACTCACTCTCCCATCTCTCTCGGCCCTAAGATACAGATCATCACCACATTTTCCTGGAGTATCTGCTTCTTGCTATATGGTCTCTGGCCTTAGCTCTATACCAAAACTGTCGGCACAGAGGTCATCCGGTGTTCAAGCACCAATCAAATGATGTATTTTCAGTCCTCAACTTCTGTTATGGACTGAACGTGTTCCCTCTAAATTCATATGTTAAAGCCCTAACCCCCCATTTTGGCTACCTTTGGAGAAAGAGCAGCTAAGGAAGTAATTAAGGTGAAATGAGAGTAGGATCCTGGTCTGATAGGATTCATGCCTTTATAAGAAGACACACCCAGAGAGCTCTCCTCTCTCTCTCCATGCACAAGCTTAGGGCCACATGAGGTTAGAGCAACAAGACAGCCACAGCACGTCAGGAATAAAGTTCTTACCAGAAACTGAACCTCCCTGGGCCCTTGATCTTGGACTTTCTAGCTTCCCAAACTGTGAAAACACAAATTTGTATTTAAAAAAAATTTTTTTTAATGTTTATTTATTTTTGAGACAGAGACAGAGCATGAACAGGGGAGGGCCAAAAAAAGAGGGAGACACAGAATCCAAAGCAGGCTCCAGGCTCCGAGCTGTCAGCACAGAGCCCGACATGGGGCTTGAACTCACAACCGTGAGATCATGACCTGAGCCGAAGTTGGATGCTTAACCAGTTGAGCCACCCAGGCGCCCCACAAATTTCTATTTTTTAAGCCACTCAGCCTCTGATATTTTGTCATGGCAGCCCAAGCTAATACAACCTCCGTGAACTCTTTCAGCAACTGCTAACAGACAGAGCAACCTTTGGAATTAGACTTCATTTTCAAATCAGGTGCTGGCTTATGGTGAACATAAAGAACTTATTTAACTTATCAGAGGCTTTGCGATCTTTGTTATAAAACATAACGGGATCCATTTCAAAGAACTGTGTGAAAAATCCGTGACTTTCTGGGGAGAGAGGTTACTGCCCCTTGGGGACACTTGGCTATATGGGAAGGACATCTGGAAATACATGGGGCGATTAGTGTTTTAGTGTCTCAGTGACAGGGCACTAATAGCATTTAATGTTTACATGCTAACCAGACTGTGACGCTTGGGCTTGTCCAGCGTAACAGAATTTTTTCTCATTCAAAATGCCAGTGGCACCCCACTGGGGAAAGAGAAAAAATGATAAAGTGACTGCACGGCAGATAATAGATGCCAACATTCACTTTCTTGGCACTGTCTGTACTTTAAGGAATAGTTTCTCTCACCTGCAAAAAGTTCCCAAGCCATTTTATAAATGAAATACAGTCTTAAATTTTAATCATTTGTGGCATGATAAATCTCAGTCGAGGGGTAGGGGCAAAGAGAGGGTTATAAGCTCTACAGAACAGGTCACAGTGCCATGGACCAAGCAGATATGCAATAAAGTAGTTGTTTGTTGAAAAAGCCTAGAATGATTTTTAAGTTATATGTTAAACAGTGAGAGAGAAGAATTTATGTTCACAGGTGAATTAGGTTTTTGTGTTTTCTGATAAACAATTTTAAAAATCTTTTATTTGGAATCCTGTCATTTATCACAAATTAGAGTGGATAATTACACGTTCTTGGACCTCGTGGTGTAATATGTTGGTAAATACTATCTGTATTTAAATATGTGTTGGTAGGACATCAGGTAAAGACAGTGGATCCAACATACTCACTTGGGCACCTGGGCGGCTCAACTGGTTGAGTGGCCGACTTCGGCTTGGGTCATGATCTTGCAGCTTGTGAGTTCAAGCCCCTCATTGGGCTCACAGTTGTCAGTGCAGAGCCCCCTTCAGATCCTCTGTCCCCCTCTCTCTGCACCTTCCCTGCTCCTGTGCTGTCTGTCTGTCTGTCTCTCTCTCTCAAAAATAAACGTTATGGGGCGCCTGGGTGGCGCAGTCGGTTGAGCGTCCGACTTCAGCCAGGTCACGATCTCGCGGTCCGTGAGTTCGAGCCCCGCGTCAGGCTCTGGGCTGATGGCTCAGAGCCTGGAGCCTGTTTCCGATTCTGTGTCTCCCTCTCTCTCTGCCCCTCCCCCGTTCATGCTCTGTCTCTCTCTGTCCCCAAAATAAATAAACATTGAAAAAAAAAATTAAAAAAAAAAAAAATAAATAAACGTTAAAAAAATACTATTCAATTTTGGGCTACTCCTAAATCTTATTAAAACTAAAATAATTATATGTGTGTATGTACATGTGTCTTTTTAACAACAGAATCAGGAGTGGTGACAATGACAGCATTTTGAAAGCTAGGAAGCAGGCGGACAGTGGCCACTCATCCGGTGGACCTGAGAAAGCGAGGCCAGAAGCTGCAAGTGGACAGATGAGCACCACAGTTTACACTGAAGGGTCATCAAAAGGCTCAGCGATTGGTGGCGACTGGTGGCAGCAGGTGCCTCAGGCAGGGGGGAAGCTGGGGCCAGAACGGTGGTAGTGGTTGAACTCTGTTTAAGAAGCAGTTCACACTCCCTTCCTTCCCTTACTGTCATCTGCGTGACAGCACCTCAGCAGGAGCCTGGAAGTTTATCCTGCAGAGGGGGCAAAACCAGAAGGTCTCTGAACTGTGTACTGGGCAATGTTCAGGGTGGGACATCACATCAAGATAGGAGGATTCCTACAGTCTACTCCCCATGCTCATCTCCCAAACGCACACTGGCAGACAGGCTCTTACCCTCCAGGCAAGAGCTTAGAGGAGTTTTCTTAGAGGACGTGACCAATCCATGGGGAAAGCCCTAAAGATACTGACACTAGAAGTTCCCCAGCAACTGGCTCAGCCAGATCAGTATTACAAGTGACTCTCAGTGAGTGTTCCCTCCCACTCCCTTTCATATTCTGAACTTCAGTTTTTACTTTCCTGCTCTTACATGTGAGCAGAACATCAGTGATTATCAAATAGCTGGGGGAAAACCAGAAACAATCTAGAGGGAGCTGGGAATTATGAGGCAAAAGAAAATTTCAAAAATTATTATTCAAAAACTCATGGATATAAGAGAGTACAGGGTATCATGAAGCAAGAAAATGATGCTGTAAAAAAAAAGGCATTCAAAAAACACCCCCCCCCAAAAAAAAACTCTTAGAAATGAAAAACATAACCACATATATAAGAACCTCAGTTGAAGGGATCTATGTTGAAAAAGGATAAGAAAAGCAGATAAATAATCAAGGAATTCCAGGAGATCTAGAAAGTGAAGTAAAACACCCACAGGAGAAGAAAACATTAATAAAATGATTCAAGGAAATTCCTCAAAATTAGAGGGTAGATTTTCTAGATTCAAAGGGCCCACCAAGTACCCAGCCCAATGAAAATAAATCCACACCTGAGGTATATTACTGTGAACTTTCATAATACTAGGATAAAGAATATTCAACCAACATCCAAAGAAGAAAATACAGTTATATATAAAGGACTGAGAATTGAAATGGTGGTATACCTTTCAACAGCCATATTGTGAACAAGGAGACAACAGAGCAGTGTCTTCAAAATTCTAAAGGAAAAAAAAAAGTTTTGAGTGAAAATGATTTCCAACATAGAAGTCTCTATGCAATCTATCATTCAAGTGGGGAAGTAGAATACAGACATTTTTAGACAGGCAAGTCCTTAAATAATCTTTTCCTCCATATACTTTTTCTTAGAAAGCTATTGTAGGATGTGGTCCATGAATGTTGAGGGAATAAAACAAACAAAAGGAAGACATGACATCTAGGAAATAGGAGCTCCACCACAGGAGAGAAGGGAAGGGACTCTTTCAGATGGTGATGACAAGAGATCTCGGCATAACCAGGCAGAGAGGACAACCAGTCCAGATGAGCAGGTCCAAAGTCCCCGAGAGAGACTTCTACCCAACACCTCATATGAAACTGACAGAATCATGGAACATCTTGAGAGAGTATTTAGACAACTGGTAAATATTTAAGTACTGGATGGATAGTTAAATACGTAAAAAACACATACTCAAAGGGCACTTGTGTGGCTCAGGCGTCCCACTTCTGCTGAGGTCATGATCTCTCGGTTCATGAGTTCAAGTCCCGCATTGGGCTCTGTGCTGACAGCCCAGAGCCCGGAGCCTGCTTCAGATAACGTGTCTCCCTCTCTCTCTCTCTCTCTCTGCCCCTCCCCAGCTCAGGCATGCGCTCTCTCTCAAAAATAAATAAACATAAAAAAAACCCCCACACACTCAAGAAACACAAACATACAAAAATAAACAAGTAAAAAGGAAATTATTAACTCTAGGGATAAGTTGTGCAAGAAAAAAAAAGTTTAGTATATGCCCCATTTCTGAATAGCACATACAATTGACCCTTGAGCAATGCAGTGATTAGGGGCATTGGCTCCCCTGTAGAGTTGAAAATCCATGTATAACTTTTGACTCCCCCAAAACTTAACTACTAATAGCTTACTGTTTACCTGAAGCCTTACTGACAACTTTAAACTGTTGATTAACACGTGTTATATATATGTATTGTATTCTGTATGTTTATAATAAAGTAAGCTAGAGAAAGAAAATGCTATTAACAAAATCACTGGAAGGGGTGCCTGGGTGGCTCAGTCAGTTAAGTGTCCGACTTCGGCTCAGGTCATGATCTCATAGTTTGTGAGTTCGAAGCCCTGTGTCGGGGTCTGTGCTGACAGTTTGGAACCTGGAGCCTGCTTCATGTTCTGTATCTCCCTGTCTCTCTCTGCCCCTCCCTCGCTCATGCTCTCTCTCTCTCTCTCTCTCTCTCAAAAGTAAATGAACATTAAAAAAAAATTTAAGAAAATCACTGGGAACAGAAAATACATTTACAGTACTCTATTCATGAAAAAAATCTGCATACAAGTAGACATGCACAGTTCAAACTCATGTTGTTCAAGCGTCAACTATACAGCCAATGTAAACCTTGCATATTTTTCTAATTAAAACCAAGACAGAATTATACCGTGAGGATAGAAACTGATTGTGCATGGTGTGGATAAGAAGAATAAAGAGCTTAAGTTCTCATCATCCATTAGAGAGAGTCCACGTACAATGTCCCAAACTAACACAATCAGGAGGTGGCAATACTTGCTTGCCATGAAGGTATGTGGAGATGATACCAGGCTAAGAGTTGAAAATGGTTTCTTTTGGGAAGAGGAACTAAGGAGCAGGAGACCTGGGACCTGTTCTTTTTCCTGAGAACCCTTGCAGAACTAGGAGATCTTCTAACTGTACCCTACTACATAGCTGTGATGAAAAATTAAAACAATTTAAAGTGCAATAGTACATAGAGAGCTAACATGGGAGTGCTTTTTCAAAAATAACATCTATGTGATTTTGGTAAATAATATTTTGGGTATTCATTTTCCTTTTTAAAAACATTTTTTTAAATGTTTATTTATTTTTGAGAGAGAGACAGAGCGCAAGCGGAGGAGGGGCAGGGAGAGAAGGAGACACAGAATCTGAAGCACTTTCCAGGCTCTGAGCTGTCAGCACAGAGCCCGATGTGGGGCTCGAACTCATGAACCATGAGATCATGACCCAAGCTGAAGTCTAACACTTAACCGACTGAGCCACCCAGGCGCCCCTTCATTTTCTTTTCTTTTCTTTTTTTTTTTTTTTATAAATTGAAAGGCTTGCATTAAATAATTTATAAGATCCCTTGACCTTTAGTGTGTGTGTGTGTGTGCGCGCGCGCACGCGTGTGTGTGTTTTATATTTCTTTGAACATGTATCTGTACTTGTGAACCCAAACACATAGAGATCTGATGACCAACAGTGGAATTCCTCTGATTACCGTGGTCATTAAAAATGTATCATCCACATATCTACAAAGACACAATGTGATCATACTGAGTGAACAAAGTGGCACAACCATCTAGCTGATTTGAAGGGAAACATCTGAGGCTGCATTTCTGTCTTCCTCTACCCATGTGAGAGAACACAGGAAGAGACTAAAGTTCCCTGGTATTTAGACTCTGGCCTGTGACGCATGGTGGTGCTGACCTAAAAGTTAATATTTATCCATCGTAGTTGGTTAAAGTCAGCTTGAGAACTTGGTGGGGGCAGGGGGGGAGAGAAGCCCTACAAAGCCGCTTAGAGATTTGTACTAAGACCAACGTTAATCTTGGTAGCAGAGCCAAGTCAGTCACATCCTCTCTAGTACATGCCAAAGAAGAGTGTGGCTAGGACTACAGACGACACCGACATTAACATGGGGAGCGGGGGGTAAAGGGCTCTGAATTCAAGGGAAAAATGAAGACTGCCCCTTTCAAACCTCCCATTACTTCCTAGCTTTGGTTGGTTAATCACCCAATCTGTCTCTGCCTTGGGTTCTTCATCCATAAACTGCAAATGGTAATACCATTCCATATGGTTGTTAGGGCAATTTCATGTGTTAACACCTGGAGAGTACTGAAAACAGTGCCTTGATATTTACCTTCCCTCAAAATAGATGCAAAGAACATAAAAGATTCACAAGGGCCTTAGATTCATGGCATCCTCTCTCTCTCTCTCTCTTTTTAAAAGATACGTAACCTGGTCTTTAGAATAAAAGAAGACCTAGGAGGAGAGAATGTCTCATGACAAATTTGGTAAAGTCAATCTCAAGAAGTCAAGGAACATATTGTTCACTGACTATAATAATCCTGTTTGGTAAAATCTCAGATTACTCATGTGCACTGACGTTTTGGATGTGACACTAAAGCTTTCCTTTGGTTGCCAGATGTACCTGGCACCCTGGATTCACTGAACAAACTCTGTGCTAGTTCTGAGTCCAGGAGGATCCAATGGTTGCTTTAGGGACGTCCTTTCATTCTTTTTGGTTATCCTGGGTCTTCAATAATATTTTACACACAGAGAAGATGCCCAATAAATGTTTGTTGAGTTAAAAATGGAAAAACACTTCGGTGTGCCTCTCATAGTCAACAATTACGTAACCATACCTCACAGTCACCCACAATTCTTTCATCGAAAAGTGTAGCCTTATTCTTCTCATTCACTTTTTTTGTTTACACTAAAACTTATATAGGCTAACCACAATTTTAATTGAACCTTAACCATATCACAGCACAGTGTGTATAATGTGCACTAAAAAATAAAGAAGATTGTCACCCTAGAGAAGTGGTATTCTTAAATGGTGAGCTATTTTTGCCTAAAAACTCCCAAAGAGCTATGGTAAAAATCAGACATAAAAATAATATAAAATAAACATTTCCCTCCTCCCCTAAAGTGAGATCATAAGATATATAAGAATTTAGTGTATAAAACGTGAAGAATTTTAAATCATGGATTTTATTTACTTACTTACTATGATAAGAACACAGTATGAGATCTACCCTCTTAGCAAATTTTTAAGAGAATAGCACAGTATTGTTAACTATATAGATCTCTAAAAGTTATTCATCTTGGAAAACTAAAATTTTATACCAATTCAACAACTCTTGAGGTCCCCCTCACCCCGGCCCTTGGCAGTCACCACTCTACTTCACGATTCTATGAATTTGGCTGTTTTAGATATCTCATGTTAGTGCAACCATGCTACATTTGTCCTTCTGTGACTGGCTTATTTCACTGAGCATAATGTCCTCCAGGCTCATTCATGTGGTCAAATTATGGCAGTCTTTTTTTAAGGCAGAAGAGGATTCAATTGTACATACAGCTATGTATACTTTGTCTATTCATTCATCAATGAACATTCAGGTTGTTTCTACATCTTGGTGATTATGAATAATGTTACAGGGGCGCCTGGGTGGCGCAGTCGGTTAAGCGTCCGACTTCAGCCAGGTCACAATCTCGCAGTCCGTGAGTTCGAGCCCCGCGTCGGGCTCTGGGCTGATGGCTCAGAGCCTGGAGCCTGTTTCCGATTCTGTGTCTCCCTCTCTCTCTGCCCCTCCCCCGTTCATGCTCTGTCTCTCTCTGTCCCAAAAATAAATAAACGTTGAAAAAAAAATTAAAAAAAAAATGAATAATGTTACAAAGAACATGGGGGTGCAGATATCTCTTCGAAATCCAGATTTCAATTCTTTTGGATAAATGCCCAGAAGTGGGATTGCTGGATCATATGGTAGTTCTATTTGTAAGTTTTTGGGGAACATCCATACTGTTTTCCATAGTGGCTACACCACTTTACATTTCCACCAAGTACACAAGATTCCAATTTCTATCATCCTAACTCTCGTTATATTTTACTTTTTTTTTTAGAACAGTCAGCCTAATAAGCGTGAATGGACATCCTACTGTGGTTTTCATTTGCACTTCCCTGATGATTAGTGGTGTTAAGCATCTTTAAGCATCCATATACCTAGGTGGCCATTTGTATGTTTTTCTGAAGAAATGTCCATTCAAGTCCTTTGCCCGTTTTTGTTTTTGTTTTTTGCTATTGAGTTGTAGGAATTCCTTATATATTTTGGATATTAACTCCTAATCAGATATATGGTTTGCAAATATTTTTTCCATTCTGTCAGTTGACTGTCCACTCAGTTCATTGTTTCCTTTAGTGTGGAGAATCTTTTTTGTTTGATGCAGTCCCA